CTAAGAAAACAGGCATGAAAATCAACTCACTGACAAAGCACTGCTGGAAAAAAATGGGCAAATTAACTGAAAGACCTCAAAATGGTCAAAATACAAGGGTGGACTTAAGAAAAAATTGATTTGTTCAGTTCAGTGGTGCCACACAAGAAAGGCACTGTCATTGCATAAGATGACAGAAGGCATCACATAATTTCATGATCCTGCTCTGAACCTTTTATTAGCAAGGACAGATCAGCAGAGAAGGATGTGCAATAAAGTTACTACTTTTAAAGAAACAGAAAGAAAGGGAGTGCACAAATCCTTTCTGAAACAATCCTGGTTTGCACTCAGGGTCTGGAGGGACCTAGGGAGAGGATTATATTGCAGAGACATTTTCTAACAATTAGTGTATCTCATATATCTGTTGTGGAAGCCAAAAGTTTAAATGTGTTTATAAAAGGATTAGATGAGTTCCCAGAGGACAGGTCCATTACTACTTGCTTAAGCCACTAATCCAGATGCAGCATCTCAGCTCAGAAGTCCCTAAAATGGGGAGAGATTGCTGTATTTACCCTGGTTCACTATTCTTCTCCCCCAGCATCTGTTACTGGCTGATATCAGTGATGGGACTGAGCTGAACACTCAGTCCTGACCTGCGATGGCTTTTCCTTTATCCTTTACAGCACCAATGTTAAATCATGATCATGATTCTTTTAAAACCAAATTTTCTTAGCTTGTCTTCCTTTCAATGAGAACTGTTAACATTCCTCCTGCCTCCTCTTACCAATCATCTCCTGCTGGGACTGGTGCATGGACTGATTGACTTCACTGGAGCAGCGATCCGCCAGGTTCCTGCCCAAACCGTCTTCTATGTGTTTGTTCAGTTCCTGAAGTTTTATAAGGAATAAATGCTCAACAGTTTGTGTTTAGCTGATCAGTTACATTATACAGAGCTGAGAGATGTTACACACTACACACTGTCACAGTGGGGAGAAGAGCATGTTACCATGGAAATACCATGTTTGCCAACTGCACACTGGGACTGAAAACCTAACTGAAGAGACACAGCAAAGATTTCCCTAGTATTGCAATCATTAAAAGGCATATGGAAAAGTCTGAGACAATGAAAAACAAACCACTACCTCCTGCCCTGCAAAGTCCTTACTGTGGCATTTGATGGGAGCCAATTCCACTGCTCTGCAGGGACAAACTGACCCCACCAGCTCCTATGGGGGCCTGCTCTGGACACTTCACTGGGCTGGGACAGCACTGACTGTCCTGACAATGCAACGATCCCAGGTGATCAGCCAGGCTGGAGCAGGTGGGAGCTGTGGCAGCCACTCACTATCAGCAAAATCTGGGCATAAGAGCCAAACCCAGGTGAACACACCTTTAAGACACTAAGTCTGAGGAGGAGTTTAGAGAAGTTTACTAAAAACAGCCTTTTGTTAAGTGTTGGGTACTTGCAGATTGTTTTAGTTTTGGATCTACTTCGTTTTAGGAGTACTGAAAATTGTTTGTGTAAGGTCTTTATTTACTAGAAGTGAAGACTACAGATCAGGAGCCACTCAACTAAAGAGATGGTTGAAAGAAATATTAATTTCTTTCCAAAAACAAAGCAGGAAATATTTCCAACCTTTTCTAGTTTTGTGGAGACAGAAATACGTATATGACAGAAAGCAAAAATCCTGCAATGCTTGAAGTGTCACATCAAATGCTACACCAATTATGAAAATACAGAAGCAGAAATCAGGAGAAGTACAAGGAACCTGGCTCCAAACCACGCCAGAAAACTTACTGTCTTATACAGCTTCAGTACTTGTGGAGAAGGGTGAAAATCTGAATAAAATTCATCAACTAAAACCGAAAGTCGGCAAATCTCATCAGTCATGGCCGAGGAGACCTGGAAGAACACAGGAAATACATAAAATCTCTCTCCTACCTTTTCCAGCCAGAGTGAGAAAAGACAACTGCATAAATTGTCACACGAAATGATTCAGTTTCCTGACAGCCATTTTGAGGTTTATTTTCCCTTTTTTATACTGGAAAAGGAACACTAGACATTTCAGACACACTTCACCAGATGGGTGAGCTCCTAAAGGAGCTGCCTGATGGAGGAGGCAACACTTGGATCTCGGAGGTTGTTCACACTTCCATTACTTACTTTATTTTCGACTTCCTCAGTAACACGTTTGATCTTTTCCTTAGTGTCTTCAGTCAAAATGTTCAGCTGATTCCGAACGAAGTCCAGTCTGTCCTTCTGATCCTCTCGCTCTTCCATGGACTGGACTCTGATGTGGCACAAAGGAAATCACCATCACCAGCAGGTATTCCCCAGGAATGAAACAAGCCCATAACCTGCCATGGGCCCCCAGCTGGGGGGTTACAGGCAGGACCCAAAGGCTGAGTGCAGTATGGGAGCTACAGGGACAGGTGCATTTAAAGGCTGCACTGACCAGACATCACCCAAATTACTGTGTTCTGGTGTATTTACAAAACCAGCATTTTGAATTGGAATTGGTATCACTGTACAAAATTACAATCAAAAAAAGGTGAGGGGAATTAGGGGCCTTTAACACTTAGTCCATCCTGATATAAAATAAAAAGGATAAATCTGATCAAACTGTCCTACTGCTGCTCACCAGCACCACTCAACCATCCTGAACAGTACTGAGGGTCTGGTGACCCTGCAGAACAAAGGGGAGGTGGCAGAAACCAACCCTGTCACAAACCAGTCTCTTCACGATTCCCTGACCTAGCATCCCTGAAAATTTAAAGCAGTTACATTCTGAAGGGCCAGCAGAAACATCGAACACCAATTCAGACCAAGAGGGGTCAGCCACAGACGTTTTGACAAGTCAACTGACACAAAGAAGTAGAGTATCAGAACATTTTCAAACATTTCACAGCATGTTTTCATGGGATGTGACAACGTGAGAAGTCAGTATGTAAACAGGCAGTTTGTAAGAGCCGACATATTTGGGAGGAGGAGTATGTTTGACAGCACAGTGGAGTCTGTTGGAACAGAAAGACACTATTAACAGACAGAAAGGAGACGGATGGGAAGGATTAAACATGACAGCAAGTTCACTGTGTACAGGAGGCAAGAGGCAGCAAGAAAAGTGAGGAAAAACCCCACACATATACAAACCTCAAAGGATACATGAAACTACCAGACAGAGCAGATGAGCTGCTATCATTAGCACTGAAGGATTACATGAGCAAAGAGAGAATAGAGATATTTAAGGATACAATCTGGGAAGGGCCAGAGGCCAAGCCTCTCTTAGCTTGGGTTTGTCTCATCCCTTACAGTATTCTAATCAGTGTCCACATCCTCCCACTTGTTTTCTCAGTGTTACTGCTAATAAAAACCTTAGGTAAAGCAGGCCCAAACATCACCTCTGAAATGCAGGACACAGCCAGGAAAACCTACAATTCCAAGTACTTCTGAAAAAATACTTGAAAATCCCCAGTCTGCAAATGAGTAACGAAGAAAAAAAGAACACCAAGATCCCTGTAGTACAGAAGTCACAGACCAAGGATACAAGTGTAAAACAACACACTGACACACCAGAGAAATGTTGTTTCTTACCAAGCAGGAAAAGTGAGTTTTAAAGTCCATAATGGCCCAAGAAAACCACCAGCACAGAAATGGCTCCTCTGATGATCTGGATAAACCAAAGCCAACCAGCCCTCCAACCCACCTACCTTTTCTCTGCTGCTGCCACGTTTATGGTGTCCATAATGTTTTTCACAGTATCTATAATCTGTTTAGCTCTGATAGTGTGCTGTTCAAACTTGGTTTTCACGGCTGACTGCGAGATACACTCCTGCGAGGGGCCCAAGCCACAACACATTACTGCAATTCCATGCCAACACATTCAGGAATTTCACTGTCAGAAAGCACATGCTGCTAATTTTAACTTAAACCAATGGGAAATAAAAAGGGAGAAAGGATAGAGAAATTAAAAGACAACAGAACTGAAATCTCAAATGAGTCTATAGCAGCAATTCTGTACCTTCGTGTTTGTTCACAGTAATGTGCATAGGTTTTCACTCTCTTAGAATAAATTAATAATGCAAAGAAAAAGAAAACTCTGATGAATACATAAGATAAACCTCTCTCTCCAGGAAATTTTCCAAACTATCTCTTTGGAATTATAAATGTCCAGTGCTGGCAATATGGCCTGGTTTGAGCTTTCTTTGTTGCAATACATATTCTTAGTTACTAGTGGCAAATAAAACTTGACATGCTCATGTCAACACTGACCATCCAGGAACAAAATATACAGTTAGGAATGAGAAACAAGGATTTTCTTACAGGGTTAAAAGAAGTTGTTAAGTAGTCCTTAAAATATCAGGTTATTTGCAGATTATTGAAGTGTTAAATGAATGAGGAGAGAATGCTCTAAAGACACAATTTCTAATTGATCTTGAATATGGAACAGCGATTCAGACAGTGACTGAAGAGATACACAAACACTCAATTTGGGCAGAAGCAAATCAGTTGCAATAAGCCATAAATTAAGTCTGACTTTTTTCAAGCAACTGCACATCCTGAGTTATGGAGCCAATTAAAGGTTGCCAGAATTCAACCTGCACTAAGTCACCCCAAAGCAGCAACACCTTCTGTGTTTGAGGGGCAGAAAACAAGCAGGTAGTCTCCTTAAATCAGATCTTTGGGATTTTTAAATAGTTCTCAATCTGTGGATGCACCTTCCATAGCACAAACAGGTTTGGGCTGCTTCTAAAAAACTTGCCTATGACCTTAACATGGACTGTAATAACAGATTTCAGCTATCTAAAAATAATAGGTCAAACCAAAACAAACAAAATGGGTAAAACATTCCCTGTTCCTCGACGAAGCAGATCTAGAAATCAGCAATGAAAGGCCAGAGTTTCATAAATATCAGCACATTGTAAGAGCTAGACTAGGCACAGAGGAAAGAGTCTTCCCAATGTTAGTACGTGGTAGGTAAAAGGATGACAGTCACTCACAACACAATCAGAAAATCCAAGTTAGAGCACTAGGAAAAACACAAAGGTTAGTTAAACAACTGGGAGAGATAAGAGGGGAAGAGCAGCAGTTTTGCTGTTAAGTCTGTAAATAAGCATTTACTGAAACAGATAGCAGGTATGTTTCAACACTGTAACCAGACCCAGTTAGTTACCTTCCAGCCCACTTACAGTACAGCAGGGCAGTGGTTAAGGGCACAGCTTATTCCATCCCTGAGCAGGGCCAGGAAGGGCCTTGCAGCAGCATGACCCAGGCTCTGCCTTTCACTCCCACGTACAGCAGGAGTACTCCCTGCTCCACTCCTTCCCACACCACTGCAGTTACCTGGTGTTTTAGGAAACTTGGGAAGCACCATGACCTGAGGCATGGTGGGGTTGGTTTTATGTAGGATACTCACTAAGGATATCTTTGCTGTTTGATAAGGTGTTTCTATGCACCTCGGAAGATAAACTATTTTCTGTTAGACCCCAATATAAAAATTCAGAAGTGATCCAAAAATCCTTTAAGATTGCCTTTCTCTTTTCCTTTGTTGCAACACAGCTGACATACTTAGCAGCATCACTTTTTAAAGCTACTACGTGAATCTCTAAAATCCTTACTACTCCCCTGCTTACAAGTGTTTCTAGTAATGCTTGCACCAGGTTTTTTTTAGTAACTTTAACCACCCTGTGCTTTGCAGAAAAACATGTTTCATCTATTTTTGGAATGCTTTTTTCTCTCACAGGAAAGTCTACATAAAGGTAGTTACAAACCTTTCAAAAATAGTCCAAATTTTTCTCATATCACAACAAACTAGCACTGGTGGATTGTTTCTAGATTTATTTTTTTTAAAGACTTTAGCTATACTGAGCTCGTATCAGTCCTGGAATGAACAGGCTCTCCTGTAAGTGTACTGATACTAGAAGCAGGAACGTGGAAATACTGGAGAAGTAACAGTTCCTCTTCTCAGCCCATATGGAAAAGAGGAAGAAGTTGCCCCATTTCACTGAAGACAAAAGCAGGGTGAGGGAATCCAGGAGGAGCAAATCCAGCAGGTATGGCCAGGGAGAACATGGCACATGTGGGTGGGTTTATACATAAGGTGATGAGATTGCTTAGAGACATGAGCTGGACAAAAGAGTGTGAGAGATGTTTGGGAAGTCTGAACAGAACACCTGGACAGGGACAGTAAGCTAAAGGCAAGACAGACAGACTGGGGCAGGGGAGGGATCAGTGTTTGACAAGGACAGACAGCAACATCTGTGCTCTTGTCCCTTCCTTCTCACACTGGAGTGTAATCCAACAGCCTTGGGACTTGCAGCTCCTCTGTCAGGAAACAGAGTAACTGTGAAGTGCTTTACCCAGGAGTGTTTAGGCTGTACAGCACCTGAATTTGGCCTGGCAGTGCACAAAGCACAGTAACAGTTTGGATTTCATTCCCAGACTGAACATGGAAAGTTCTACCTGGTGTATGATATTCTCCATTAGCATATGAGCTGGGATAGCCTAGAGCTGGCAAACATAACTGATGACAACAGCATGCTGATGTCAGCTACTTTATCAGCTCAAGTGACAGTAATCTGAATGCTGGTCAGACAGTAATCCGACTTCAGACCTGGTGAACTGTTTCAGGACCAGCCTTGCCTCAGAAGCACATAAAACACCATTAAAACTTAGGAAATCGCCCACAAAACCTGAATGTGACAGGCACTGCAACAGCAGATGCTCAAAATTTAAACTGCTCTGGCAATCTTAACTTAGCAGAGTTGTTCATTCTCTAAATGATGGGATCACACTCCTACTGAAAGCCATTCATTATGATTTCAGGATGAAACACAGCTGAACAGGGGAAACATTACAGAATCCACTCTCACTGCTGGAGTCAGGTGTGCAGCAAATGGAACACAATGTGAAAGAAGGAAAAAGGTTGTCACAGAACTGATCTTTGTCGCAGCCTCTGCCACAGGAACTTATGGTTATGACCTTGTGCTGGATGCTTCTCATTGTGGTGGCCAACTTGAGTCTGTGACATCTGATTTACAGATGTGCTGAGAACTCACAGCACCACAGCATTTAATAAGTCATTGTTCATCTTAAACTTCAAATAGTCTAAGCATTGAGTGCTTAACGGTAATTATAAGAGATTTTGTCAAAAAGCTTTGGATACAGCACATGGCAAATTATGTTAAAGAACATAAATGATGTAGAAGCTCAATTTCCACTTTTTTCGTACTGGCTCTAAGCTTTCACTATAATTTTAAGGACAAAAATGACAAACAAAAACATGTGTTTGGCCACAGCTAGTGACACAAGCAAGAAATTCACACCTCATGGATTCAGGCCCTGCCTGTACTCTGAAGCAATCCCTTCAACAATTCACTCATCTATCATGAGTGTGAATAAGAATTAAATGCAAACTTCAGTCTGACATTCTCTTGCTTACAGCAAGGCTAAATCAAGCTATTCTTTTAAATTTTTTTTTATATACACAGATCATTACATAACTCAGTTTGGCTAAGGTCAAATGGGTTTGTTGTAATGCAAGAAAAAACACTTTTCAGAGGCAGTTTGTTTTTTTTAAATACACTCATACACAAAACCATTGAGGCATATCCAAAATGCCTCCTTAGGATAGCCAAGAATGGCTTTCATTAATTAGAGTTATCAAATTCAGCAAGACAAATGGATCCTATCACAAAGAAATCACTCAGCCAGTCCTACTTGTGCAGAAACTGTAAGCTCCAGCTATGATTATGGCTAAACTGAAGTGGATTCTGTACAGCACAAAGGATTCAAGAACAGTGTTCATGCTCAGAGTAACAGAGCTAAGAGGTACATAATGGTGATAGATTCAAAACTCTGGCTTTAAAAATGCATGCAAATATTCAGATTTACATTGCTGAAACTGAGTTTCTTACTATGAATATTCACTAGCTTATGGCTATGATACACACCTTCCTAAGGGCATCACCTCTTTTTATATAGACTATGTTGGTACTGAGATCTCAAACATGAGCTAAGGGTTTTGTTCCCTTTCCTCACTGAGCAATACTCCTTTCCAACAACTACCTGCTACTCAAGGTGAGAAGAGATGAAAGGAACCCACAGATAAGGCAAAGCTGCAGATGGTTTAAATACCTTACACTCCTCCACCTGCTAACATGGGTAGTGCTTAGTAAAATTAAGCCAAGCAGAAGCAAAAGGTACCTTTGCAATAAAAACCAGGCAATCTAAAAAGCCCATCATAAATACCTCAAATATCTGCTCAAAATGTTGAAATTCCTGGAATCTTGTTTGAAATCCTTCAGCAATGGCTCCACCTGTGAAACATAATAGACCAGTAAGGGAGATAGCAACAGCTCACAGCAGGAACTGCATCCTAAATAATTTTTTTTATCAGGTTTTATAGTATTTTACTGTATTTGAGGGAAAGAAAGAATTCCTACACACCACCCTCTGGCATTCCTTGGGCCTTCTGTCTCCTGGCACTCAGAACTTCTTTTGCTGAAACAAAAAAGATGCGATTCCTTGCTTCCACGGGATCGATCACTTTGAGCTCATCGACCAGGAAGGTGAGGCAGCGCTCCATGTGCTGCCGCCGCACCTGGGGGAAGGACAGAGCTCGTGAGAAACAGGCAAAAATTGAGCTGGCAACAAACCAGAATGTCAGGAACAGGTGCTGAGCCACCCCTTGGGCAGCACATCCCTGCCCATCCTGCCGAGGCAGCAGCTTTCACTCATTAAAATACACCTGGATGCAGCAATACTTCCTTCTACAACTTCAGTGTTTGTCTAAGTCAGAGATCTCAGCCACTTACTGGGGTAATCACTTCATTCCCCATATGCAGAGAAATAAGTCCCACTGCAAGTTGGCTGCTGCTGTGAAGGGCTGAAAAGCACTCCCAGTTGTTCCCATCCAACACTGCCCTTTACCAGCTACTCCACACATCTACACGTGTAGAAACTGTACCCTCAGGCTGCATTACCAGCACAGAAATAAAAGGTAATACAAAGAAGATTAAAAACCAAGCTTAACTATAGAGAAAAAAGGTTCTAAAGATGTTTCCCATTGTATTACCTGCCTGAATATATTATCATTTGAACTGCAGGTTGCTTTTTGCTTGGAACAAGGAATAAGCTATTTCTGTTCTCTGACCATGTCATATCCTTTTATTAATAAGACAAATCTGGTGTTTTCATACTAACATGTATTAATTAACTGTCACCCAAACAAGAGCCACCAATTCACTCACATCTTCCATGTATTCTGGTTCTGATGCAGAGGCATCCCACCTATTGTTCAAGATGAAGATGTTTGGCTTGGAAAGTCGTTCGTTCACTTTGTGGAAAAAATGCTTCTCCTATGAATAAAGCACAAACAGAAAACTCCCCAGACATCCAAACCAGAGCCACACATTCTCCTGGAACAGATTCTGAAGTTCATCCAGCTTTTTTAAAGTTTATTTTAAAAAAAATCACCAACATTAAAACCCACAGATATCTGACACACATAAAAAGGCTTACAATAGTTCAAAAGTCATCAAATGTCTTAAAACTGATGCTACTGTTAAAAGTCAAAGACACTGAAAGTTCCTCTAAAAATGGGTATAAATATAAACCAAGGAAAACTCCTAAACAAATAGTTCAGAAAACACTGGAAAATGAAATTATTTTTCTATAAATCTATCACATCATTCATTGTCTTTCATTTTCCCCTCCTTTTTTCTCTCTTACTATCACAGAACTTCACCTCCTTTGGTACCTCTGGCCCTTTACTAAATTAGTTTACAGTGTCTAAAAACATTGCTGGGGAAGAGAGGAAGGGTGAAAGAACACACAAGACATGACTGTGTCTGCTCATTTAATTTTTAAATAAGACCCCTGGCTAAAACTGTATAGATGTGTAGATGAAGAAAGCGTAGATGAAGAAAGATCACCATTTGCCACAATGCAAAGCAAAATACAAATGCTTTAGAGCAGTTGCCTAATTTTCCTGAGCAAATGAGGGAAAACAGAAAAAATTTGGACTTTTCCTTGTTACTGCATTACATGAAGCTGAAATCTGGCACATGGGTCCCTGTTGTTTCCATGCTCCTCTACAGCAACAAGTTGCTCACTGAAACCCAATCTTTCTTCTTCTGCATTTTTTAGAAACAACTATGGTATGCACAAGTAAATAACATCTAGATTTCATCCATACAAGAAGCCAGAAAGCATCCCTCATGTGAAATAACATAGAAGATAAAGCCACAATTGTACCAAATCCTCTCTTTGCCTTGAATGTTGTCAGAATTTTGCCTTTTTTCCTCTTTTAAATCACAGCTCTTGTATTTGAGGTTTTGTGGATTCAGCTCAGAAGATGCAATGTAATGTGTTTTAACTCATTTTATGTTTTCAGATTTCTACCAAACTATTCCAATCTGCTAGAATGCAGGGAAATCCTATCTCTGCACACTCAGTTCTTCAGTTCAATTGTTCAATAATTAGAAAGTTCAGACATTGCATGTCAGAACTATGCTCAGAAAAACCAGATAATATTATTTGTCTACAGCAGGCTTAGTAGAAGTCTTCAAGAGACTTCTCAGTACATTACACTGAGGGGAACCTGCAGCACTTGTCCTCAACATAAGGTGTATCGAGGCAATTCACCCTCTCCTGCGACAGAAATTCCACTTCCTTTGCCTACTTTGTGCATTTTACAGAACTTCTGGATATGAAACATTCCATAAATTCTTTGATAATACAAGTGTCTTCAGGTGACAAATCAATAAATTGCAAATCAAGACAAGCACTACATACTACATCATCCACTTATCAAAAAAACCACTGAAATGGAAAGGACAATTATGATGCTCAAGGCAGAGTAAGCCAAGCTGGTAAGAAAACTTGGTTTTTCTTTGCCTAGTGAGGGATACACATTGTTTCTTGCCTCCCATTCCCAAATCCTATCCACAAGATCTAAGTCCAGTGATTCATGGAAGCTTCAGAAAAGGTCTCAGCCATTTTGGTTATGGAACTGCTGAATATTTACATGGAGAAGCAGTGTAAAACCATTGCACACCATACCGTGTTCATGAGAGTTGATTCAGAATTGGCAACCAAGACAAACACATCAGCATCTAAGCAGAACTTGTCAATCCAGCTGTCCAGTTCTGTAGTGACATCAGTGCCAGGGCTGTTAAAAATAAATGACACAAACTCCTGTTTACACAGCAGAGGAGTATTTGATTTTCATAAACGGATAAAACAGAGTGGCATTACCTAAGGGCTTTGTAAGAACATAGGCTGATGACTAGCTTATGCTTAAGGTAAACACAGCAAAAGCCAATAACCATCCAGAGTTTATCACTGCCTTGCTCATTAGATCATCAACTCATCCCAAAATGCAATTTCTAATGAATAATTATGCAGATCATGATTGCCAAGGAAAGTGACAGGAATCATAGAATCAACCGGGTTGGAAGAGACCTCAGTGGTTCATTCCATTATTCCTTTGGAAATCCATCAGAAACCCAACAGTCTCACAGAGTGATTCCCCTCCCTGCATCCTAAGGTTTGGATTTCAATCAAAAGAAACAGTTGCCCATAAAATACTTTTTTCATTAATAAAGACCTGGTTTAAAGTGACATTAAATCCATGCACAGCTTGCATAGCATAAGAAGCCAAAACAAAGTTAAAATAGTGCTGTTTGAAAAAAAAAAAAAAAAGGCAGAATATGAGCATTAAGTCATGTTTGCAACCCCTAAATTACTGCTGGTTCAAATTTTCTCCATTTAACAGTAAAAAGATGATTTTCTCCTTCCAAGCACCTGTTCTCTCAGAATCCAGGATCTTTTCTTTTCCCTTTACAACTCACCTTCAGTGACCAAGACTGTGCAGATCAAATCACGCACTCAATAATGACAAACTCCAAGTGATTTCAAAGGTACAAGATTAGAGATGGAACTGCAATTTATTAGAATACACTCTGGGTGTTATTTTGATGCATATGAAGAAATCATTCTGAATATGTTGATATATAAGAAATAATTCTTCATATCCAGCAAAATAACACCCAGAATGGATCCTTATATATGCAATAACACATATTATATATACAACATATATATATACATCTATCACCCATATATATATATATATATATATAT